TGCTGATGTATTTGTGTGCTCATACACATCTGTATGTCTGTATTTGTGTGAGAGACGGTGCATGTTGGTGTGTTTGTCTAACCTGAAACACAGTGACAGTCGCCCAGAGCAGAGAGTCAAAGTTTTTTCTGTCAGGTAAAGTGTCTCCACTGTCTTGTCGCAAACCAAATTTACACCCGAACAGATGCATACCCAAGATACTGCAAAACACACACACACACACACACACACACACACACACAAAACAATGAGAAAATATATTACTTTCATTACATGGTGATTTAATATGGATACTGTGCAACAAGATGCAGTAATGCTGCCTGTGTGAATAATTGTGTTTGTGTAAAAAGGTGATACATGTGGTAATATGTCCTCTAACTGAGTAAGAAAAAGGTCAGTAGTAATGATTATGATTTTTGTGAGGTATAATCAGTATAATTAATGCTGAGAAAACATTTTCTGAGTCACGACCTGCAGTATCAACTTTAGGGAAAGAAAAAAAATACCTGAATATGAATATAAAAAGCATCAGCAACATGCAGAATGTGGCCACATTGTCCATAGTCTTCATCAGCACCACCAGCTGCCTCTGCAGGGCGGGCATGAAACGGATAAGCTTCAGCACCCTCATTAGCCGGAAGGTCCTCAGCACCGACAGACCGCCATCCTGCTGACCCACGATCTCCCCCACACTGTACGGAGGAAAGTGAGACACACACATATGCAGTTATGTTAGATCCAATGTGTAAACAGCCAATAGCTCTGACCAATAATCACAGATCCCTGCCCAGTTCAAGTGGAATGGAGCCCTGCTAATCATACTGTATGCATTTTCACCTATTTTTTTAAGGTCTACTGCTGTGCAATAATTTTTTAACAAACATGTTCTTTGTTTGAGCATTGTAAACAGCACTTCAATTTTTGTGATAAGGAACTGCACATTGTGTATTTCTGCTTTATAAAACAGTCTTTAGTAATTTATTTATATCTGTTAAATCATAAATCAGTATTAACTGATTGTTTAGGCCACTTTAAGGCAGAAGAACAGGCTTAGCAAACAGTTTACACACCAAGCACATATGGAGCAACATTAATATTCATTTTAAGTCTGGCCACCAGATGAATGTTAGTCCAATATTCACTCTCCTTTTGTGCTCTGTTTTGGTCTCCACCAACTCCCAAGAAACAAATATGGCTTAGCGCTCCACTAATGTAATGCTAGCTAGCTAGCTGGGCACCCAGCTCAATGTTAGGTTCGTAACATGTATGTGCTAACAGCTAGTAACAGCTAACAAATACATAGCTGGCTGGCCACAAGTTGCCCCCAACCCCATTGGTGCTACCCTGGAACCAGTTTTCCTAGTCAAGAGCAGATTCTTTGGCTGACAAAAAGCAAAGAAAACAGAAAACAGCTGCCTGCTAGAGCTGGAAATGAAGCTAATAAGAGCTGTGACAGTGAACAAAATAGTAAAGCAGCTTAGCGATGAGCTAAATAATGAAAAAAAGAAATAAAATAAATAAAATTCTCTGTAAAGCTGAGGGGAATTGCTCTAATTCTCTGTGGGTTCATCACTATGAGCATCACCTGTCACATTTGACCCATTGTTAGTATAAAAATATTTAAATTAACCATTCAGATAATATTACAATTAACCAACTTTGTAATTTCTTAGCTCTTCTGATGGAGACGGTGACCACTGTGTTTACTACAACGTTGCACTTGACAAACTACAAACTGCAGCATTGCTCTTTGAGACGGTTTAAAATCTTTGACCGCTCTATTTAATCCCCACATTGGAATGGTAATATTGAGTCAGTTTTATTGGATGGAAAGCTAATGTGACTGTACTTACATGCTCTGTCTTAGCTGTTTCTTCTTGTATAATAATGGCCATGGGTATGTAGTGCCTTTGTGTTCCCAGTGACATTATTTAAAAAAACAGATAGCATGGAGAAAAGGATCCCCTCATCATTTCAGGGCTCTCTGAAAATGTTTTGGGGAAAATCCTGCTCTGCAGCTCACCTGATGACCACGATGATGCCATCAAAGACGTTGTAGGGGTTCTTGATATAGCCGAAGGGCCCATAGACCAAAACCTTCAACAGCATCTCCAGAGCGAACAGGCTGGTGAACACAATGTTACTGATCTCCAAAGCGCTGGACAACTCCTCAGGCTGGAGACGGAAACACAGAAGACAAAAAGAGGACAGTGGTTAGTGCATGATTGTGGCATACTACATGTCTTAAACCTTGAAATCTTATACCCTTGTTTTCAGCTTGACTTCCAGCACTTTGAACTTCCTCCAACTGTATTAGATGTATAATCTGTATACAGCCTGAAAATCACAAGACTGGAGTAGCAAAGCATTCATATGAGTACAGCAGCAACACCTGCTATGCCACATGTGTGCAAGGAAATATGCTAATGACTAAATTCAATTCAAAAATGACAACTCTGTCTTTTCACACTCGATACAATACACACGCTCGACCTTTATCTCGCACCAGGACACAAACACATCACAATGCTGCCGCTGAATATGCCCGGGACGTTTGCTCAGAGCTCATCAGAGAATTGGGCTGCCACTCACATCTACATCAAACAACTGGTGGTGTATGTGTGTGAGCATTTGAGCGTGAGTGTGTGTGTGCCAGAAAGAAAAAAAGACAGAGCGAAAGAGAGAGAGAAAAAGGCAGCGCAAACAGACAAGAGAAAGAACACAAGCCAAAAGATAAAAGGTGCGGCACATCCAAATACGACACAGTATGTAAATCAGACGTCTATAGCGAGCATCCGTAATTATCGGCGGGGAGAAAAGAGCCGGTGGGAATGCTGTTATGTGTCTGTGGACTGTGCAACACCCCCAGACAAGCTTCACGGGGCTTTTCATCTCCATGCAATAAACAGTTTACACAACTCAAACGTGGTGTCATACAGACACATTACACTGACATGACACAGAGGATGGAAGGTGTCGAGGGCCTGATCTGCGCTCGCATGTTCTCCGCCATAAATGTGTAAGCGAGAGCGTGCACATATGTGTGTGTGATCTTACAGTCTCAATATCCCACTGTGTTTGTGTATAAGGAGAGTCGTCCCAGCAGAAACATTATCCCCAGGCTGAACCAGGAGGTAATGTAATGTAATGTAAACATATGTGCCATTAAGCCTGTCCTGGTGGGCTGCCATTAATCACTATACACCATGACTGTTTCAGCCACGACGGCTCAACACTAGCATGGATACACAGAGGAAGGAATACAGAGATTAACATCGCTAGTTGAATAACAGCCCCTCATGCTGCATTACGGCACCAGTTTTTCTAGAAGACTTAAGCAACAGTGACACAGAGTCGCTCGGTTATCATGAAATATTATCACTGGTTACACTGCCTCTAGGTCATACAGTATGGGGAAAACTGTTGCTCCAGTAGCCCTGCTACTATCTGTATTTGAATCTGTGTCTGTTCAACCATCTAAATTATCTGTATTCGTATCCATACTTGGAATCGGCTTGGCTTAACCCGGATGTGGGTGTTGCTAACACCCACAGTTGTTTCGTTTAAGCCTGAAATTGATGTGAGGAGTTCAACATTTGGAGTGGAGAATTCATCAATACCACTCTCATATCTGTACATTAATGTAAGACTGAAGCCTGCAACTGACTTTCTTAGCTAGCACGGTACACCCCCCAGGTTGAGTTTGTTACTGTTGGGTGGAGCCAGGCAAGCTGTTTGCTCCCTGTTTTCCATCTTTAGGCAAAGCTAAGCTAACCAGCTAATTTTGGTAGCTTCATATTTAATGTATAGATACGAGAGTGGTATTGATTCCTTTAATCAGTCTCCTTGCTGCAGTGATGTATAAGTGTACTCCAGGGTGTGTCAGTACACTGTGACATCATTTGCACAGGCGCAAAAGAGCACATTTCAGATCCTAACCGACCACACTCATCAGTGATGCTAGGTGTGGACAGAGGTGCAACAGGTGCACAACTGTCGACCAAAGAGCATTGCTTGCTTTTCAGGCTGGTGTTGAGTGACTCTTTAATTCCAACTAAATTAAACCAACCAAACTATTTACATAACGGCAGCAAAGCAATTTCTTGCAGAACTATGAAATTTAGTGGTCCCAAACTTGAAATGGATCATTCACAATGTGCCTGTGTGCTCGGTGTAAGCGCAGTCACAAGCAACCACCCTCTACAGAAAACTTCAATAAGAGCATCTTGACAGCGTGTCTGAGTTTCAACAAGTCAACACTTACAAGTCATTGCTTAGTATTAAGTCATTACTCCCTTAAGACTACAGTGCTACGGCAGGGCCTGGGGCAGAAAAGAAGGTCCAGCAACACCAAGGCCTCATATTGCACCATAACTGAGAGCCTGAAGCTTCAAACCTGAATTTCACTGGCTTGTGATAGATTAACAAAGTTGTCATCACTACTCGCTATGTCTGAGTACTCATACCTAAATGACAAAATAGGTTGTAACTCATATTACTACATAATATGAGGTTGCGTTTTAGGTGACTAACAGTATTTGATAAGCAGGCTCATAAGTAGAAACCGCTGCTGACTGTTGATAGGGGACGTGATGCAAACAGCAATCTCGAGGGTCGAACTTAGATTCTACGCCCAGCTGTCCACCCCGACAGGGTTGGATTAACCCGCTAGGAGCCCCGGGGCAAACAGGAGCTCCAGGCCCTTACTGACCTCCTGTTCTTCCCACTCTCTGTGCACTGTGCATGTAATGACGGTCCTGCTTTACGGCCCCTTAGCTGTTCTATTTATATGCTATACATTTATGTGCTTTTGTGGTAAATACTACCACAAACAATCAATGTTGTCACAGTGAGGATATATCTGAAGTGCTGAATAACAAGATTTGTATAAGTAGGTTGTAAAAAATAAAGGTATTTCAATGAAGTCAGCCAGTAAGTAAATATCTGTGACAGGATTTTGCTATAGAACTGACTCCTGGCCAATCAGGGGAGAGGATATATGCACAACCACTAAAAGTCTCAAACACTCGAGGGCAAAAGAATGAAATTAATGAGGGCTGAATAGCCCCCTGCTCTTGCATCAGTGTTGGGGCTTGTGTCTTTAAAAAAAAGTCAGTTATGACACAATTCAAAGCTGAACTATTCCAAAAAGTTTTGTCACATTACAATTGGCTTTCACCGAAAAGCTAGCTGCTTTACCTTTCAGAATCACAATTCATCCCTTCTGCAATATTAGCATTAACACCCAATATTCTTGTCATCCTTATGTTTATTAGCTCAAAGGAAATATCCATCTCAAACAAGTTGATATTTGTTACCATTGCTCTTCTACGCCATAGGCTTTTAACTGAGATGCCAACAGCTAACAATGAGGAGAACTAATTGGGGAATCAGAGCGGCTGGCACTTTTTGGCAACATGAAGAGGAGCCAAAAGGTGATTACTTTCTTGAGTTGTGACAAGAATAATATAAATGAAGTGTATTTCATCATATTACTTGTTGGGCATGTTAGTGAAGGCATCATGTAATGCATGTGCAATATTAAATGAGCAGTGCTGAATGTGTACAGAGAAGAGAGCAACATCTTTCCCCTCCTGTCTCCTTGTTAAAAAAAGAATCATTTGTCCACAGCCTGCAGTGCGGCTCCTGCCAGGGAAGCCCGCTTCCTGAAAAACAAGCTTTTCTCCGTTTCATCTCACCTCTTTGTCATCGTCTGTGTCTCTTGTGTCTGTCTCTGGGTTCACAGACACAGACGAATCTATTCGTTTGATCCCGCTGCTTTATTGTGTCCATTCATTTGTACACTGGTGAGTGCGGCGGCGGCAAATCTTTCATACACGCAACAACACATTGTGCGATTAAGAAAAGTTCAAAGGGTAAACAAATGCCGGGGCACTTAGATGTTTATGTGTTCTTTCAGATGAATGCCCTCACACATGACTATGTCGAAAACACACACACACACACACACACTAGACTAGTGTAATACCACGGATGCACAAAGGTGTACCCAAAGTTACACTAATAAGCATGTGTACACACATCCACAGGCCACACACATAAACCCACACTGTGAGCTCCACTCCCACACTCATTACCATGTATGCACACATACTGTATGCACAAAGCTCTGCACAGACTCACACTTATAACCATGGCACGTAGACACACACATGCACACGCACAGCTTTATAATAGATTCGATTGATAAGCCAGAACAAGAAGTACAGTTTTTATGAGGTGAGACTTGGACTGCAGACATCTGGCCTTGAGACTGAGGTTCAGATCATTATTTTTCCCCCACTGTTTCTGCTCTCGCTATTGTTCCAGCTTGTATATTAGACATTCCTCAGACATCATGCAAGATTACCGCAAGAGAATGAGACCATAAAAAAAACCTTTCTCACACATAGAAACGCACACAGGAACACACAAAAGACATGGAGGTCGAAAAACTACACCCACAACCCCCCCACAAACACACACACACACCAAAGGTTCACAGCCATCAGCTTATCCAACGGGAGAAATTTCTTAATTGACTAATAGCCAATGAGGTGTGCGTGCTACCTAGAGAGAGATGAATGTGTCCGCGTGTGCAAGTGTGCATAAGTGAGAAAGACACTTTCCTTTTTCTAATTGCTTCCTTCAATGGCTGTTTCTTGGGTAATGAGGCTGCCGGAGCATTAGGAGGTAAAGTGTGTTAGATGAGGAATAGTGTAATCTGGTTAGTGCTAATGTAATGTCACCTAATCTGATGTGATCTAATCTAAACGGGATGCAGCGAGCCGCTCCGCTCCAGACTGTCAATGATGCAGCACCATGTCTGGTGTGCGTGTGTGTGTGTGTAGGTGTGTGTGTTAGTTTAATCAAGTGGTTTGCTTAGGCATGCTACAGAAGAGGAAATTTTTAGCATGAAATGGAGAATGATACACCCACCATTATGGTTGGCTGGTTCGTTGTGATTCAATAATAATGATGATTTGTCTCAGATGACTGAATGAAAGTCTGTGTCAACGCCTTAACATACTAGGTGAAAGAACTACACAGGGGAAATAATGACTCTTTCCAAAGCATGACCATAATAAACAGCTACAGACGTTTCAAAGGCAAGGTGCCCCATCATGCCTTACAATGGCACTTTTTATTCTTAAAGTTGTTCAGCTCCTGTTAAT